ATCGAACGCTTTCTTGAAATCAAAGTAAGCAGCGTCAGCCTGACCCCCACTGTCCACCGCAGGCAGTAGTTGACTCATATAGTTTAGGAGATTGGTGGTCGTGCTCCTCTTTGGCTGGAATCCATGTTGAGAGTCCGAGAGCTGTGACCTTACCTGCATAAATACGCTCTTGTAGATAGCAGACTCTAACACCTTCGCCGGCGACGATAGAACTGCAATCGGCCGGTACTCGTCAACTTTTCTCGTCAACGTTATGTGTGTACATACATGTAATATAAACTGAATCTTATTTTAAAATTAATACGCTAGTCTTAAGCTCAGTAAGATTAATTTAAATAAGGTTTAATGACAAGAGTTACACAATAAGATACAACGATAATTAATAATATTTGCTATAGTCTTTGTGCTTTTTTAAATGGTTAAGGACCCTGGGTGATAAAACTAGCACATACTTAAATAGTTTAAATATCATCAATATCCACCCTCGTCTACTGATGCCTAATTTAAAGTATGAGTTACGGTCTTACTAACATTGGGTCTTTTACATACTGAGGAATTACCTACCACAATAATACTTTTTTGTTTAGTAAGTAAGTACCTATATGAACATTTGTTTATAAACTCAAAATATAATAATCTGTCCCGTTTTATATACATAATCTTATGTATGTAAAACAGGACATAATAACCATAATAGGTATTATTATTAAAATATATATATATACAAATCTAGATAACTACACATAAAATTTCATAGGGTAACCTCGAAAATTTATAACAGATTTAAAAAAAACTCATATCCACCATATTACATGCATATTTAATAATTGTCATTATAATTTTTACAAATCATATGACATCATCTTGTACTTGAACTGTATTCCTAGGTATATATTTAAAAAAAATAAATTTAATTTAACAAGACGTAGTAAAGAAAAAATAACAGAAGAGAGAGCAAATTCGATGCTGGCAAAATGATTTATAGACACAGCTGTGAATTCAAGAGTCACGGTCATCAGATCTTATTTATATGAAAGTGCAAAGCCTTAGTTTACTTAGTACAAGTATCTATCATATTATTATATATTGTAATCCTTCTTTTTGAGTAAAGAAACCACCTGGTGCCATCAACGGGGTTTAAAGAGGGCAACGGCTCGTGATCGAACCGTCTAAAACCACTAGGTATGCCACATTTCACCTAAAATAGGAAAGATCCCCGGTACAGCTGTTATTAAAATATCCGGATATATAGTACATATTTATCCTACAGTTGAATATAAGTACGTTGTTAAAAATAAAATTGCAACACAGACAGGCTTTATATTTTTAGGTTTGCTTTCATTTAGTTCATAGGACTATTGTTTACAGATAATTTAAAACATGCGAGCTTTCTGAACAACCCAGAATTTGAAGAATAAAATAACTGACGACCTTTAGTTGCCTCGTTTGCATAGAACCTTAAGAAAATATCGCGTTACAATAATTTCCTTAACTACAAACAGGAGAACTATTAATTATAAGTGATTGTTAGTGTTGCGGCGCCACCACTCAGACGGAATCCGATGCCTGGCTATTTTGTAAGATTGTTAAATGCTAGAGATGATAGGGGCATTGGTGATGAACGATGCGTGTATGGCTTTAATTAGGGGAGAAAGATAACCTGAACAGAACATATTATTAAAATAGAATTGCAGATTGAACAACGTTAACACTAAATAAGACACAAATGTACATATACCCATATAGGTATGTAAACATCTAGGCTTCAAAACAGATACCGAAAGTAGAACCGTCAGTCTAGACCTAGACGATTTATTAATTATTTTTTCACAATATCATTTAAAACAGTTATAACTATTTTTCTTAAAAATATCAGTTATTTCTTATCATACTTGAATGCCCCATTTTGTGCGCATAACATATCATCTTAAACCTTTAATCAGATACAAGCTTGTTTAAAACAATGACGTGATAAAACGAAAAAGCAAATAGCGCACCAAATCAGACGCTTCAGTTAACGCATGAAACTAAAGTAACAATCAATCAAAGTTAAGTGGTTTCTGACAAAAAAAAAATCAGATAAGTGATGCTCTTTGGAACGGAACGCAAAATAAGTATAGCGATATTGAACACCCCTACTGCTTGTGCTCGAAATATAGTCAACATCATTGAGAAATAAAGGTTTAAAATATTATTAAACTTATATACACAGTTACATTAACAGTTGATGATATATCGTTCAACAAGTATAGATAAGTATATGGATGTTATTGTTATAAATTTTACTCAAAGTTGCCAAACGATGATGAAGTTTATCAGTTAGTGATTTACAAGTGTTAATAAGAGCGCGTGAAATAAGAATAAATACGGAGTAAGGATGGTAAATTTTATAACTTTGTTCTTATCATATTTAGAACATTTAATGTAAATAATGTAGCTTAGCCATAGCTTCTAAAGAATGCGTGCTATAATTAAAGTTAGAAATTTTGTAATGATGAATACATGAAAATATAATATGTATTAGTGGCAGTATATAGTATTTTTTTAAAACTAGCTGTATCCTGCCATGCTTCGCAGTGGCGCATTGTGGTTGCATTTATAAAAAATCAGGAACAAAACTTACGCGAAAAGATAAAAACAACCTGTGAAGTTGGTTTTATGTCGTGTCAAAATTTCAGCTCAATCGGTGCAGAACTTTTTAGTTTTTGAAGCGTACACAAACCAACTTAACATTTTACTAGAGTGAGATTCTAGGGACCCAAAAGTCTATTTACCCCTATTTAGTGGGATCTGTGGGCGGTGAATTTCAGTTTCCGTGGGCGGTGGAAGTCACTTACCATCGGGTGGCCCTATGCCCCACAATAATCACATCAACAGCCTTAATAGTCTACTGCTGGACATAGGCCTCTACTTAGAAAGGAGGTTTTGGCCTACTATACCACGCTAGCCAGACGTTTTGGTATAGGGTTTGTGTCAGGTTTTCCTTCTCTTTGCAGTGCTGTTATCCTGCGCAGTTTGCTTCCTTAGTCGGCTCTTACGTCACCCACGGGATTCTTAATCCGTCACCACGCGGATAGTGCAATAATCATAGACCCTTATTATATACTTACGCAACTACTAAGTTGGCGTTTTTTCTGCCACCATCAAAAGCTTAAATGGTTAAATCTCAGCTGTGGTATTTTTCTCTTCGTATTCTACACGTGTATATGGTCACGCTGTCCAGTCTCACTACAACCATTACTCAGGATATTCAGACACAATGGATATCATAGCGCTTAACTTGTCATGTGGAGCGATAGGTCAAAAGGATAACTTTTTACTAAAGAGTTTTTGGTCAGTGGACACAAATAATAAACCATTTCTATAAGAGGTCGCCATTTTTATGCCATTTTACTGCATTTTTATAATAATAATAACTTCACACATCTCGCAGTTTGGTCCCACACAAGACAGAACCTGTACTATGGTAACCAATTTGCTGATAAACATACTTATATATTTCTAAAAACATACATATTATAGATAAATTACACCCAGACACCGAACAAATGATCGTGCTCATTACAAAATATTTGTCCCGGGTCCGAATCGAGCCCGTGATATCTGGCTTAGTAGTTAGGATCACTAACCACTAAGCCAACAGGCCCGTCAACTTTAATCTACATGGTGATACCCATGGAAGTAAAAATATAAAATAAGAAATAAACTTCTGAAAATGTACATGTGTCATAGTGTAATGCATATAATTAACTTATACTAAATTAAGTTAGTGATATGTTTGAAATAGTCGTGTAAGATATCAAGGCCAGCTGTGATTGTACGTTGCAGTTTATCTAGTTATACGAGTAGGAGCTTGTGCACCACAGTTGGTTCGGTGTATCGGTACATCGAAGAATGGAATGTATTCCTGATTCCAGCGTTTGGCCTAGGTACACAGTTCCTTACACGCTCAAGCAGTCCCTATCCCTGTGAAAATATGGTGAAATGGGTGAACAACAGCTAATAGAACAAGAAAGTTTAGGAGGAAATGAAATTCAGGAAAAAAATATTTCAAAGCGCCATCTTATTCTAGTAATTTTTGACATCACATTCCCGTAGACATAAAAAAATTGAACGGAAATATATTTAGAAATAGTTTAAAAAAGTGGTTAACTAACAATGTGTTCTATAGTCTGAGAGAATTCTTTGATGCTAAAATAGTGTAGCCGTATCAATAAATTTTGTATTCAATTTGATTTCATATAAATTGCAACACCTGAACTGGGTAACTGTTGAGCCTGATACCAATATGTAAAAACACCTTCATTTGTACACAGTTTTATGCAATAAATATATGTCTATGTGTATGACTCATTTCTGCAAAGAACATCATATTAGGTTCAAATGCCGTTCTTCAACTCAAAATTTCCAGATCTAAAACGATTGAACCAATAATGGACCTCGTTTATAGAAGCAGTGTTAGGCCCTACACATCGTTAAAGTTTCGTGTTATGTGCGCAGCGGTATTTGCACGTAGGACCTCTTATTTGAAATTTCTACGCATTTTCAGTTTATCCATGGAACCAATATCTACCACAATTTCACAAAACAAAATACAATCTAAAACAAATGAATGAATGAATTAAATCTAAAAATTGTGTTTTTTTTTAATCTCTAACTTCAAAAGACCTATTATAACTTCTATTAGTTTTTTTTTTTAACTATAAGTGAGTAGGCACCCGTCTTGTTTCTATCTGCCATAAAGTAAAAATTCTAATTTTAACTATAAAAATATAATACATTATACACTTTGTACAGTTTCTTAATGGTGAACGATTTAAAAAAAAAGGTCAATGCAAAGTTTATCAACACAGGGGCAACACTGAAACTGTCTGTGACAGTTGAATGACATTTTGTAACTGACATTTTCATAGTCATCGTTCTTTGCGGCTTGGGTGTCTGCAAATTACAAATATTTTACTTACTTTGTGTATTTTTTACGTTTTAAACTCGGTATCAAAATGGTAAGACCCATCATAGTTATCTTAACACTGAGCAAGCATCATCTTATGTGTTTACTTTAAAATTACCAAAAAAAACGATTATGCTTCGTCACCGCCGGAACATAATTCTAAATGCATTATTACCAATTTTCTATTACAAACGTAATAGTAGATTACTAGTTTATACTCCGACTCATATTCTTATTAGTGTTAAAATTGAATGAAATATATATCTCCAAAATAATTTATTTAACCTAACCAAAATATTGTGCATATTGTACTGAGACTATATTGTTCTATATTATGTCTAGGTTACCCATATGCCTAAATAATAATAATAATTTCACACAAACAAGAGCCTGCACTGGGTAACCAGGCTGCTGATAAACATACTTATATATTTTTAAATATATACATGTTATAGATAAATTACACCCAGACACAGAGCAAATGACTGTGCTCATCTCACAATATTTGTCCTGGGTGGGAAATTCATTACATATATCTTAATTTGCAGTTGAAACTATTTAGTATTAAATACTAGGCAACTTAAACATTTACTTATACATTTCTGAGAATTCCAATACTACTTCAAATCGATTAAAAACTTTTCAATAAACAAAATTAGTTTTAATATATTATTCTCTAGATATGCTACATAATTTTACACATTTATTCTTTTTTATTTCCAGTTCCGCAATCAGTATGACAGTGATGTCACAGTATGGAGCCCCCAAGGCCGTCTTCACCAAGTAGAGTATGCTATGGAGGCAGTTAAACTTGGGTCTGCTACAGTTGGCCTAAAAAACAAACAGTTTGCAGTACTTATAGCCCTTAAGAGAGCAGTAAGTGAACTCTCTGCGTATCAGAAGAAAGTGATTCCAATTGATGAACATATTGCCATCTCTATTTCGGGATTAACAGCTGATGCAAGAATGTTGAGGTAAATATCATATCTACACAGCATTTTAAAATTTATTTGTGTATGTTGTGGCTAAGCCCCAGAATTGATTACCTCATGATGTTGGGAACCAGTCAATTCAATGAAAAAATTTTCATGAATGATTGGTCACTACATGACATGGTGTGGCTAGATCAATGAATAATGAGGCTTTAAACAGCTACATATAAGTTCCTTGACTACTTAAAATTTGGTGGTGTGGTAGCATATGCGACTGCTGTGCTGTGATCTCGAGTTTGATTCTCAGGTCCGGCCAAATGTTGGTATGATCTGCAAATATTTTATTCTGAGTTTGGGTGTTTTCTATGTATAATATGTATGTATTTACAAAAAAGGTATCTAAGTATCATCATCATCATCAACAGGCTTTAATAGTCCACTGCTGGACATAAGCAGTTGTATCTAAGTATTCTATCAGTTAATTTAAATTTCATAATATAAATTCTGCTTAGTTTGAAACTAGATGGTGTTGTCTGTCAGATGTTAAAAATTTTTTTAAAAATATTATGTTTTAGGTTTTCATTTTATTGTCTTGTCTTGGTGAGTCTTCATTCCCACATATTATTTGTCGTAACCCAGGATACAAACTCGGCCTGCTAAATTTTATATAAATATATTCTTATCTTATTCTTAAGTAAGAAAACACACAAAAAAATTACAAGTTTTAAGCAGTTTAAATATCATTTGTTCTAATATCTTCAAATAGGTACAGTACATTATTTATTTTGAACAGGCCAAATCAAAGAAGACAAAACAACTGAAGATACTGTAGAAAATGCTGGTTGCATGTCATTATTATTGTGTATGCAAAAATGGTATTAATTAGATATATTTTTGTAATTCCAGCCGTTACATGCGTACAGAGTGCCTTAACCATCGCTATGCTCACGACGCACCTATGCCAGTTGGCAGACTCATTGGGCTTGTTGGCAATAAGATGCAGATATGCACTCAGCGATATGATAAACGACCACTCGGTGTCGGCTTGCTTGTGGCAGGATATGATGTTAGTATTACTTTTTGGGATAACTCTAATTTCTGGAAGTATAATAATACACATAAAATTATAAATGAGAACTGGTAGATATCCTGGGACCAACCAAACCAAACCACGACCAACCAAAAATAAACGAATAGCATAGAGATCAACTTTATTGTAAACAAAAAAAAAATACAGCAATACTATAGCATTCTCTTACAAGTAATCTAATAGCTTTTTTTTATCAAACAAATATTACGAAAATGTGTAACTAAAATGTAAAAAAATAAGACAGAATAAAAGTTTTTGTTTTGCTAATATAACTGTTAGCTTGCTTCTGGTTAAAGCATTTTTCCAGAGGTGTATTCTATAAATCAACCCAGAATTTGGAAACTGCTTGGTAGCTCTCATTAAGGGTATATCCTGTGGATGTAATGCATTGGTGTCTTATTCCTCTGAGACTACAGGCATGGGTATTTAAAAATATGCAAATAGTTGACTAAAGATAACACCTTAAATAAAAGATATTTAGTGAGCTCAGTATGGATATCATTGATAAATTTTAATTTAACAGACAGTACATACACAATGAGATAGATTTGGTAGTTTCCTCTTCAGAAACATTTGTAACTTGCATTTATTCTTCAGTAAACGAAATACATTTCTTTTGAACTTTATACAAAAAGCTTTCAATTTTCATCATTATGTAAATTTTTCAGGACCAAGGCCCACACATCTACCAGACATGCCCATCTGCTAACTTCTTCGATTGCCGAGCTATGGCCATCGGTGCACGTTCTCAATCGGCTCGTACATATCTTGAGAAGCATCTCAACTCATTCCCAGATAGTGATCTACAAGAAATAGTAGCTCATGGCCTGCGTGCTCTCAGAGATACACTACCTAATGAAGTGGATTTGAATACTAAGGTGAAAGCTTTAAGGAATTGGTTACTTAAATAAACTCTTAAAATTGTTTATCGCTTGTTTTTGGGCATGCAAACTGCACTTGTTAAGCAATTAATTAACACACTGGTTTGTCAACCTGTATCTAAAATATTGTCATTCAATATGTAAACCAGTGTCTACATAAACCAACTTTGTGAACAGGTATTACATTTTTGTAGATTATAATATGCAAATATATATTTTTTAAATCAGTCTGTGACCACATCCAGTGCAACTCGGTCCTAATGTCAATACCGTTTGCTCGCTCACCTATTTTGTGTATAAGAGCCGAAAGCTATTTTTTTGTAATTTCTACTGTCATCGCACAAGCATATCTTGTTCTTTTTCTCTAGCCCATACTGTTCCACTGCTAGACATCTCCCAAAATCCTTCTATTTATATTTCAGAATGTATCTATCGCTATTGTGGGCCCAAAGACTCCACTCCGCATTTGTGATGAAGACGAGTTATCTCGTTTCCTGACGCTCGTTGAAGGAGAAGAGAGGCGTAGTGGCAGCGGGGCTGCTACCGGCGATACCGCGCCCGCGCAGGAACGGGACACGGGGGACGACAGGGAACCTCAACCGGGGGTAAGTTTGGAAGTCACCCATTTCCATTGTATATATCTTTAAAGATTTATTTAGATTTGTCTAGGTTTTGTAGTTGAGGTGCTGCATCTGTTTTATAATAATCATTAATTTAAATTTTAATAAATTTAATAATAAAAACAAATACATTCTCAATAATTCTCCGTAAATATTTCACAAAACTAATCTGTCACTCAGACATTAACTCAATCAATCAGTTCAAAGACAATTATTGCTGTTTTTGAACAATCCTGACATTGTGTAATAGTAACATAAGAAATAAATCAGCAACAGTCTTTAACTGCTGGACATAGGCCTCTCCTTAGAAAGGAGGTTTTGGCCTACTATACCAGGCTAGCCAGACCGGTTGGTATAGGTTTGTGTCAAGTTTTACTTCTCTCTGCAGTGCTGTTGTCCTGCATAGTTTGCTCCCTTAGTCGGCTCTCACGACACCCACGGGACGAATAGTGGTGGTGACACTCTCGTTTTCTTAATCCGTCACCACAGGGACAGAAAGAAATAAATAAACATTAATAATAATAATAATATAATAATAATAACATCTTAAAAATTCAGGTTTGCATGCAAAATCAAACTGCAAATTTGCTTTATTATCTAGATGATTGGAAATATATATTTAATTCTAAATATATATTTTTGATTGGTTTTAATGAATATTTTTTGGTTTCAGGTGGCCATGGACACAGAGTAGAACATGAACGACTTCAAGATCTGGACAGTGATGATGTCCCTTCAGGCAATCGAGATACCTTCCTTTATCATCACCAGAATCAGCCAGATTTTAATGAACCTTTGACTGAAGGTTACCCTCATCTTCCATCGCCTAAAGATTAACCCTGGCCAGTGTTCAGATAAATAATTTTGTATCGAGATGTTGCTAACATAAAATATCGTAAGTACTAAACACAGTATACAGCACCACCTTTCGGCATAAATCTAGACTACTACTAATCATAAAACTATGGTGCACTCTATGGACTCTCTTCACCAAACAGTTAAACCTTTTCATTGCTAGATGGCAGTAATTTACACAAAGTAGAGTTTATGACCATATTTAAAGTTTCTCACCTCGACAACTTATTAGAAAAGTATTCATGTTATTTATACAAACTTTCATAATTTTTTAGCAACATTAAGTTACTATGTTTGTCTGTGCACTGGCCAGAATAAGTAAAGTAATGGAATCCTTCACGTCTTTTATTTTTCAGTTTATTCAATAAAATATTTGTGCTTAAATAAATGTGTTATTTTTTTTTGTCCATGAAACAAAATGTTTCTATGTGACAGTTAATGTATCTATATTTATGGAGTCTAACAACAAGACGCACATTATCGGTTACTCAACTCTATTTATGTTGTTTCTTTATTATTTTCAAAAAAGGTTGGTGTCAGGTAGGCAACAGAAAAGGAACAATCCATTATAAAATTCTAAAATATCCATGCGGTTTAGTAAGGTGAATAGTTGACAATCAACGTTTTATTCACAATAATAGTTTTTTTTATTTTATTAACAGAAGACACAGGCTTTTTTGATATAGGTACATTATTTACATAGAGATGCAACATTAACTTCTTTGAGTTTTATCGTGCAACATTGCACCCTGCATCTTTATTTTTTCACAAATAGACCGCTCTAACCAGTACAATAGTAAAATATGGAACATGCGAAGTAAACAAAACACGTACCGACAAGCTCGCAGGCGACGGCAGCGACTTGCGTGCAAATCAGCTGTATACGAAGCGTCACGGAAAGTGCTCGCAGCTTCGGCTTTCTAACTTTGAACATAACGAACTTTCATACAATCGTTTATCTCTTGTTTAATCAATCAACCCCCATAAGTGTGGAATTTTCAAAAATCCTTTATTAGTAGGTGCTTAAAACAGAAAAGTATCAGCTGCCAAAATTTCGAGTCTGTAGCCCTAGCGGATTAGGTCTTACGTTGATGAATCAGTCCGTAGGTCAGGGCAAGTAACTTTATATGTATGGATAATATCTTTACTCAAATAAGTTAGATTACTTATGCTTATAATATTAGATCACCTTTTAAAGTTCCATAACTAGTCTCTCCAACACAAAGGTAGCATCCTCCGACCAGGCGAGATGATCATGCCTGGCGGGCCGCGGCCCAACAACCGTTGAGCAGTTGTAATATATGTTAATCGACGAGGGGATTTTTCATATCGCGATACAGGATTTGCAATTCTCATTTAGTAGTTACTCCGTATTTCGGTGTGTCTTCGTTAGATGGGGCTATAGTATGTTTCTGTTTCTTTGTATGTGGGAGTCGCCACAGTCATATAAAAAAAAACCCGTATTTTTGTTTATCTATCAATCCATTCCTGGCATACCGAAGGGATTGTTGGCACCAGTAACTCCCGAAACGGTGACTACTAGTCTGCCTTTTTTTAAATTACTAATCAGCTAGTCAGTCATGATCGGAACATCTCTAGTAACTATATGGTTCAGTATCTATATTTTTCTCTTGTGATACCAATTTGATATGATTTCGAGGTATTTTTATTTCTCTTTCATACAACTTGGTGTTAAACAGGTAAATCCTTTCTTTTAAAGAAGTTTAATGTTAGATATGTTGTTAGAGCATTCATTTGCTTTCTCATAAAGCCTTAAAAATGTTCTACTATATTTTTGTTTAGTTCCTGATAATTATGATAGACTAGCCTTTTTTATAGGGAGTGAACTTAATTCCTTCTGATCACATGAAAATATCATTTTCCAATGCCGTCAGAAAAAGAAATTCTTTTATGATTTTTTAAATTGATAGTAATGCAATATGTTTGGTATTCCAAAAAGGAAAATTGCCGTCATTTCACCATTAGTTGCAATTTTCACTATTTTGGATCTTTCAGGAGCTTAAGAATGAGAATGGTTGCATTACCAGTCATACTGTTAATGCAAACCCTTCTTTTATTAACAGTCCTATCAAGCTCACTTAATTAAAAACTTGTTTGTTTTTAATATGTTATTTGTGTTATTATAAAACTGAATTTCCTTCCTGTCTACCAATGTATTTAAAGTTTATATTTGTTAATCTATATATACATGGTGAAATGCTGAAATATATATATGTTAAGTTGGTTTCTTTACGCTTCAAAAACTCAAGCAGTTCTGCACCGATTCAGCTCAAAGACACGATATGCAACCAGAAGGCTGAAAATACCTTTTATGACAGTGTGAGATCGAAAGTTGATCGGAAGAGAATATAGACCGAACTTACGAGAATTGGCCTCCTGCTTCAAAGATTCTGTTTATCTAAGTATTGTTCGCGTCAGTTTTGTTGCTCATTTCTGATTAATGCAACCACAAAGTGACGCAACAAAACTTGGCGGGATACAATTAGTTATTAATAACAATATTTAGAGGCAAATACTTTAAGGAAAACGAAATTAAAAGTTGAATGTTGTTACTAGAAACCGTCATTTCAAAATTAAGACCGCGTGTAATAACAATACGATACAATGTACATAATACATTTACTTTTCTATATTAGGTACTGAAATTACAAATTGGCAAGGTGTGGTGGTTAAAACGCCATCATAATTTATTAACTTTAAATATTTGTTTTCTATCATCGACCTAAATTACTTTAACTATCATTTTACAGACTCCGTACTACGACAGGTTGAGATATAAACAAAACCCCTGTACTTTCGTATTTTCATTTTTTGTAAACTAGGGAATGTATCCTGTGTCGCGTGGGTCTTGACAACAATCATGAACGGAGACAAAGAACACCCCGACTCAGAACAACAATTTGTGGATCACACAAAGTGTTGTCGCATGTGGGGATCCAACCTTCAACACTCAATGCTGATGCTGAACCGCTTTAACCACTACGCCATCTGCATCCGTGCAGTTGCATTAAAAGTAAAGTAAAAAAGAAAGTTTTTAACCAATTGATTAAAAACTTTAGTTTTCTACACTTCTACATATTAAACTTTAAGGAGGTCAAAAACTTTCCTTCGCGTATTAAACATCACACTATGATAGTTCTAGTTATGAAAATTTATATTAGATAATCAGCTTTTGTGTGTGTTAAAGTCAAACAGTCATATCGTAAAATACTTAAATTAACCTCGATTAGTTAGCAAGCAAATAATAATATGTAAACAAAAGATAAAAGTTCAGTGAATTGTCCTATTGACAACTTATAACATCAAAATGTAAGAAGTTATTTTTATATTTGCGATTTAAAAAATAAAGTTTTGGCAAATCCTGGATTACCGGTTGACTTTAAGTCGTTTAAGCTGATAGCAGTAGTTAAAAATTCCTTTGTTCAAAGCTTGATTGATTGTTTTGAAAATAAGGTGGGTGGACCATGGAAGGCCACGCTCCTTTGAAGGCCAACTGTTAAAAAATCGTAGTTATTGACATGTAAAGACATATTCCTTCTACTACACACTACGATCCATCAAACTGTAGGACAGACGCGGCGGCGAGTCGCTCGCGCCGCTATTGTGGCAATGCGATCTCACGCTTCGCAGACTTCGGTCGTCGACGTTACAATTGTTATTCGCGCGCACAGCAAAACGTAAGTTTTTAGTTAAATAACCTATTGTTTCCTTATATTTTTTACTGTGAATTGTCGTGTAAGGATATTTTAATGGAACTAAAGAAAAAAAAAAGAAATTGCCTCGATTTAAGTGAAAATATTGGTAGTGTTCCTAGGAAAGCCGGTGGTTCCTTATAAGGCCAATAAAAAATTGGACGGTTGGCCTTGCTAGGGAACATGGGCCTTACATCTATAAACCATGAACATATGAACACTTATTATGTAGTTATAAATACGTACCGTTAAAGTTAATACAATGTTTTATATTTATAATTTTTTTGTAAGGATTTTCTAACTTTTAAACTCAGACTGAATAGACATTTTTTCAAAATTATTTTATTTACAGTATATATTTAAGTTTATTTTATGTCTATGAAGAGGTTATGTCTGGAAATAAACTAAACTAATTTACATGAAAAGCAACGAGTATAAAAAATATTTGCTTGTTAAAAGCGGTAAAGTAAGTATGAGATGAGTTAAAAATTGTATATCTAAGATAGTCTGTCTAAAACTATAATTAAAGCAAAAAAAAATATATATTAATAAGTTGGTAATTGAACAGATGATTAAAATTTATACGTATTATTTCAGATTTCAAGAATGTCACAGTCAAAACCTACAAAAAGAGGTAGTACGTGGAACGAAGATAGTTTAAGATTTTAAACATTCCTGACTACAAGACTGACTATGTGCCATGATAAGTTTGTAATAATTACAGTACGTCTGTAGTGTCTATTATTTTATTATAATTAATATAAAAAAGTCATAGATTGTTAGTTTGGCCTTCTTAGGAACATTGTGGCCTTACAAAGAACGGAGCCTTAAGAAGGCCATATAAGGTAAAAAAAAAGTTTTTAATTTGATTATAAAACGCCTTGGCAAGTTATTTTATATCAATATAATATTTATTACTACTTACTAGTTTTAAATAATTTCCATTGATATATTCTTAGTTATACGATGGTGTTCAAGTAATGTTCATTGTGTTTTTTATAGATAATAAAAATATATTGTGCATTTAATGTTGCGCTTAAATGAAAGAGCTTATTATGTAGTTTTAGTAAAAGCGGATATATTAATTGTTACAACTCTATTTTTAAGTTGAACGACTGAATTATAATATTGGCCTTGTTTGGAGCCCTGTTCCTTGCAAGGCCATTTGGAAGAGCTTAATAAAACTTAAGTTTAATAAATAGTTATTAAAGCTAGGTAAAAAAAAAGTGATTTCTATGGTACACAATAAACCAAAGTATGCCTTAACAATTTGTTTCCTTCATTTATCCAGTAAATATACGAATAAAAAGTGTTTATTCTTTAGAGTGGCCTTCCATGGTCCACCCACCTTATTAGTTTTTACTTTATAAGATTTGAAGTAAAAACTGTATGAATGAACCTGCTATCTCCTATCTTTCATTGTTCCGTGATAAGTCAAAATAGTTACTGGGAGCCTATAATTTTTAGTTGCCGCTTTTTGACTGCCTCGGTGGTGCCGTGGTAGCGTATGCGACTGCTGTGCTGAAGTCTCGGATCCGATTCCTGGATCGGACCAAATGTTTGTCTGATCTACAAATATTTGTTTCGGAGTTTGGGTGTTTTCTATGTTTACTCATAATATGTAAACATTAACGAAAAAAGCAGGTAATTATTCTTTCATTCAATCTAGCTTTCATAGTAGAAGCTCTGCTTAGTTTGAAACTAATGGCGTTGTGTGGCAGTTGTCCGAAGTATTTATTATTCATAATTTTTATCTTTTCAATTGAACACACATATAATATTGTTTAAAATTTTTAGCTTTCTACATTTCTAACATTAAGGAAGTACTCCAAATGATGATATCCTCCTGTTTAAGAAGGGATACAAAGAAATATCTTTACGTAATTATTACATAGAGAGGGTTGTGGCTAAGTGGTAACAGAGTAGGTTAGCACATCGCAAAGTTAAGCAGCAGTGGTTTTGTAAATGATGGCGTGATGATATGATCTAACACATGTGATTTATTCCATCCCTAATATAACTATTACTTACCTTCGATCAAAATTTGATAGATGTTACATAGATAGAAACTGAAAATACATGTTTAAAATACAATAAGAAACGTCATTTAAATAATGTAATCTAAAAGAAAATGATTTAATAAATTTATTTATCATTATAAATAATGATAACTTATACTTTGATTATTTTCCTGTATTGCAATAGTGTAAAAGTAACAAGTGAAGTTAGTTGTGAGAAAAATGACACATTAGCTTAGAGTTTTTATTTTACAAATTTATATTTAATGTTATTGCTACTAAAGATAGACTTAGATTTCACTAAAAAGTTCACTTATGTAGGTATTATCGCTTCACGTGGCTGCATACATATTAACGTTCGGGTCAGTAACATTACAACACATCGATAACGTATTGCTCTCGGGAACAAATTACTTGCCTTTATCATACAAACAAGGGTCAGTTGAAACATCACCAAACGTCGCAGTCAAACTCTAGTGTTGTCGTTATGCGTAAATACCTGGAATTAACATCAGAAACGTATGAATTATTATTTCAGTCATAATGTCAGTATACCCAATGTACTTACCTATTCATTTTTGATGTGTTTTATATTCTACTAGCAATCCGCCCCGGCTTCGCACGGGTGCAATGTAGATAGTATTACTGTACTCTGTGGATAGTAGATACTATACTCCGTAAAATATAGCTTGATACCACTGACAGCTAGAAGCAAATCAGACTAGACATATGATTAATACTTTCGCCTTACAACACCAAGAATCTCGAACTTTTGCAATCGATAAAACACTAGCAAGACTAAATATATTTATTTTATAAATACTACCTGGTTCTTACCTGATAAACAGCAGTGAATTATGACACTCGGGCAGTCCTAGGAAAAGTTAAACTGTCTTGGAACCCGCAACAAAATAAATTGGAGTAGTTGGAAAAAATAATCAATCTACTTCCCTCCTTAGCAAAGCCGAAGAAAAAATGAAGTAGAAATAGGTATACACCATATTAAACAGGGCAGCACCACGGACACAATACACTATGGGTTCTGTGAGTGAGCTATGAATATTTAATGCCTATATAGATTTTATTTTTATACTATATTTAAGTCCTACTATAGATTTTATTTTCTTTAATTATTTTTTTCACTTTAAGTCAGATGGCTACTTTGTTAATATATTTTTAACACTTATAAAAATATAGAGATATCAGATAATATTCGTTTAATCTAGTTATTATTATAATATGTCACTAAACATATATTAAATATTGAAATTATAGTGAATTTTTAAAACCAATCCTACTATATTTGTTACATATTTCGACTGACGATGATGACTGATGACTGATGCCGGGTTAAGTTTAGATATATATAACAAATAAGTATAGTTTCCATTTTAATCTGAATTACTAAATATCGTGTAGATATACGAAGGTCACAGTAAATAAAGGCTATTACTTTTTTAATAATTTACATGATAAAAATGAATTGAAAAACTTATTTCATTATATACCTACAAATTAATCAAAACATCTGCCATTTCAAGCTAAATTTTAAGAAGTATACCAAAGTACTAGTGTCAGTGTGGAGTAATGAATTATACAATTATTATGATAATACTATACTACAGGACATCTTTATATGCAATATATGGGTATGCTACCACCGGCCAGCCGCTGCCCGGGACGGACGTAAGCCACGACGCGGCGACTTCCGCTTTGCCCCCGCATTTGAAAGTTCTGATATCTACTAAGATATTAATTTAAATGATATGCTACAAAAGGCAGTATTGATCTACGAGTACATTAATTGAACAACATATCTAACATATTTATTTCTATAAGGAATAACACTGTATTGTTCAAAATAGCTTCGTAAACTACCCGCATATCCGACTTCATTTTATACTATGTAAGGGGCCATTCATTAATTACGTAAGGATGATTTTGATAATTTTTGGATCCCCCTACCCCCATGATAGGATAGGATAAGGATACATAAGATTTCTCAAACCCCTTCCCTCTTCTTATGTAAGATTCAATCTCGTTATTCTGAATAATAAAACGGTGTTAGAAAAGGATCAGTTACACTAAAACTCACAGTTTATCACAGTAAAGATTTTTATTTTTTCATAATACGAGTATAAGACATTTAAAATGGATGAAAATGAACAAATTTAAGATTTTTGAAATTTTAATAAACAATAAAAATTTGGAATTTGACTTCGATCGTAGTGCACAATATGGAATGAAGAAAAACATTATATACACATATACAGATATTTTTATAAGTTGTATAAATAAATATTGCATTCGTTTCAATAGTTCAATGATTCCTATAAAAAAATTAAATAAATATAAACGTCAAATGATAACTGTCAAAATATTTATTAAGTAATTTCATCGTTTTATTCCCAGATGAATATCGAATTAACAAAATTATATTTTGAACCGTTACATACGCAACAAGCGTTATACGGGTCGTCGTCGTTGTTGTGCGCGCAGTGTAAGTACGACGGGGTCGCTATGTGGCGATCTTTAACAGTTGTGCTCCTACTCGGAGTATTCACATCCGCTATCAATCTCAATTACTTAGACCCGACGAAACTTCAAACTCTAACTTCAAGTGAAACTCAAAAAAGTGCGGCTCTAAACATAATACAAAAATATTTACGTGATGTGATTGTTGAAGTTGATCTACTGTGGTTTAAAGATAATAAAGACACCTTCTCTCTAAATACACTTGAAAATAAATTGCATATAAGAGCAAGTTCCGGCGTGGCAGCAGTATGGGGCTTCAATTATTATCTCAAGAAATACTGCAAGAGTCAAATTGAGTGGCAAACAGAGAATGTACGCATTCCCCCAGTCCTCCCATCCATAAACGAAACAGTGGTAGCTAACGATAGGTTTCGATATTATCAGAATGTGTGTACAGGGTCATATAGCTTTGTTTGGTGGAATGTACGACAATGGCAGAAGCACGTAGCATGGATGGCACTGAACGGTATTAACTTAGCTCTGGCTCCGGTTGCCCAAGAAGCGGCGTGGGCTAGTATTTATAGACAAATAGGCATGACACAAGAAGAAATAGACCAGCATCTAGCGGGACCAGCTTTTTTGTCTTGGCTTCGGATGGGAAATATGCATGGTTGGGGAGGCCCACTGCCTCAATCGTGGCATAATTTACAATTAGCCATACAAAACGAAGTAATTAATATGATGCTAAGTTTAGGTATGGTGCCTGTTTTACCAGCATTTAATGGACACGTTCCAGTAGCATTTTCAAGGGTGTATCCTAACAGCAAGTTTCATGAAGTAGTACGTTGGAATGGATTCAGTACTGAGTATTGTTGCGGACTGTTCATAAATCCGAATGATCCTCTATTTAATATAGTTGGAAAAATGTTCTTAACCGTAATCAAGAAGCCCGGTATTCATATTTATACAGCAGATCCATTCAACGAGATATCAATATCAAATTTTTCTACACAATTGGCACAGACTACATCTAATGCAATATTCTCGACTCTTGTAGAATCCGATAAAGAAGCTGTGTGGTTACTACAAAATTGGATGTTCGTGAATAACCCTTCTATGTGGCCTATAAATCGAGTTCAAACTTTCCTGAATGCAGTTCCAAGCGGTCGAATGCTTATCTTAGATCTACAGTCCGAACAGTGGCCACAATATAATCTTTATAGAATGTACTTTGGCCAACCGTTTATTTGGTGCATGTTGCATAATTTTGGCGGGACACTGGGAATGTTCGGGAATATGGTGACAATCAATAGAGATGTTTATCAAGTTAGGTCTCAAGTGAACAGTACAATGATTGGAATAGGTCTTACTCCAGAAGGTATCAATCAGAATTATGTAGTGTATGATCTAATGTTGGAATCCGCATGGCGCAAGTCTCCGGTAGCAGACCTCACTGCCTGGATAACTGATTACGCTGAAAGAAGACATGGATGCAAGGATACTGCTGAAGCGTGGAAGTATTTGCTCAAAAGTGTATACAGCTTTAACGGTTTAAACAGAATCAGAGGAAAGTACGTTGTTACCAGGAGGCCAAATTTTGGAATACAACCATGGGCCTGGTATAAAAGTTACGATTTATTTCAGGCTTTTAGGAAGCTAGCATTTACTAATGAGAGCCATTGTTCGACAGAAGGGTTCTATTATGATGTAGCAGACGTTACTCGCCAAGCCTTGCAGTACAGAGCCGAACAATTTTATGTGAATGTCGCGAAAGATAGATATGGGAACGGATTCGTATTTGAGAGTTCTATAAATCGGTTTCTTAGCGTATTGTCTGATATGTCCTCTGTATTACGGCAAAGTAAGTACTTTCTTGCTTGGAACTGGTTCGCACAAGCCAAGAGTATAGGAGAAACATTAGAAGAAGAGTACTTATATGAGATGAATGCAAGAAATCAGATCACGCTGTGGGGACCCAGAGGAGAAATATCGGATTATGCTTGCAAACAATGGGCTGAGGTCATTCGTGACTATTATATTCCGAGATGGAAAACTTTCTTATCTGCTGCTCTAAAGGCTAAAATAGCTGGTGAGGTATTTAACGAACAAGCGACGAGACGTGTTGTTACTGAAAACGTTGAAATTCCATATGCAACAACGTCTTTTGGAAGTACAGACTGGTCACTCCCTTCTGAATCACTTATGGATCAAGCCAAGAATCTTTATAGAAAATGGGCTTATGTCGCCGATGTAAATGACTTGCCGATAATGACCATTAAGGCCAAAAGAGCTAGTGAATTTATAGTTTCAGATGGGGAATCCGAAGATTCTGAAACGGCTGTTGATCCCTACGTGTTCATGTTTACGACGCCAACTGATTAGATAGTTATTTTAAGTCTTTATAAGAGCACCTCCAAGTGAATGCCAATATTTTTAACATTTAATTATACAACTAAAAACGATGTTAACTACATAGTTAACATCGTTTTATGTTATATCGTTTTTAACATCGTTTATTGGCTTTGTTAAGCAAATTGACTGCACGGATGGCGTAGTGGTTTAAGCGGTCGCCACGCCGCTTCCTACTACGCCGAGTGTTGTGGGTTCAAACCCCACATGGGACGACACTTTGTGTGACCCACAAATTGTTGTTCTGAGTCTGGGTGTTCTTTGTGTCCGTTTCATGTATGTTTGTAAAGTCCCCCGCGACACAGGATTTATTCCTAATGCGGGCGTTGTCTTTTATAAGAATAATAATAATAATAAAGCTGTTTTGTATAATGTATGTTTTACCACATTTTCCCTATTTTGAGGTCTTTATCTAGTGGCTGTAAGATCAATATTAATTACTGTACACACACACACTGTAGTAAAATATGCAAACAAAAAACTATTGCCTAGAAACTAGTGCCAAGCAAATTCCATAAATTAAGTATTAACAAATTTAAGTCTTTAGGAAAGGTAAAACTGTGTGAGAAGGCTTACTACACTATTACAGATGATTTAGACGACAAATTTGCTTGGGATTGATGTTGCTCACTCCCACATTTACGTAGACATCTTTGTTGTTAAGTTTGAAAGTGATGGACATTTAATATATTTTTTTGGGGATTTCATATTTTGTTTGTAATTTTGAATTGTTTCGTTTTTTTTATGTGAGTATGTAAATGTGAGTATAGTGTGGGCTTGTAATGTTAATTCATATTTTAGTAACTTTGTGGTGGTTTTGAGTGTTTCCACGGCCTACCCAAATGTCCTGCTGGCGGTAGTGTCATACTTCGGGTCGTTGATCTTGACCAATATCGGTTAGGCTATGGCTGGAGCCTGACCGATATTGGTCGGCCTGTCCATACAGACGGCATATGTGCCGTCTGTATGGACAGGCCGACCCAAAACTATGGTCCTTTCTTCAAAAGGCCTACCCAGACCCTATACTGTACTCGCACAGTTTTATTTAACTTTATTTACGGACTTAAAAAAAAGCCACTCTGTGGTTTGTTTCGGCGTTTCTTCCCATAGTAAGTCTTAGGAATGCCGGCTCCTTCTAGCTGTAAAGCCTGACTTGTAAAAATATCTGAAAAGATTTACTTACAGAAATAAATATCATTTATCATTTATTATTAACGCCCAAAAGAGGTCACTAACATCAACAAAAATAATGTTACCTTTGCTCAATGCTAATAGAATAGAATACAATAATGATATTTGCATTTTTTGTACGTAGGTAATCTACCTTGACATGCAAACATTAAAAATGCTTTTACATTTGGATACAATGAATCAGGATTATAGGTATATTCTCAATACAAATTGCACCCTTTTTGAGGGTAGTTTTGAAAAATTAGTAACAACTTTTTTTTAATACAGAGTATTAACTGTGAGCTTCTACCAAAAAAGACGAAGTTTGATATAAATTTACAACACCCATTTTCCATTTTTTTAAAATCCTTTCTTAAGGAACATTTGGGCAAAATTTCATGCTTCTAGACAAAACCGTTTCAGCTGTGCGTTGATCGGTCAGTCAGTCTGTCACTTTCTTTTTTTATAGATATACTCGTAGATTACAATTCATAATAGTAATATAGATTCAATATATCTTGACAAATAAATAAAATTGAAGTGTCTATTTGTGATGTCAAAATAATAGTTTTTTTACATGTTCACACGGTTATTTGCACGATACCTATGCCTAAAAACCAGTTTAAATATTTTTCGTCTGTCTGTCTGTTGTGTCAGTCTGTCACTCTGTTTGTTCCGGGTAATCTTCAAAACGGCTGGACCGATTTTGATAATATTTTACTACCAGGTAGTTGCCTATATATCTATATATGTTTATTTGTCCGGTCCGGAAATCGAACCCACCAAGGCAGCGATTTTCATATTCCACGCGAACGAAGGCGCGGGCACCAGCTAGTGGTCAATATAATTATGTAAGTTCAATATAACGTTCTCATCATTACGTAAGTAATATTATTTGAAATTAGGAAAATAAATTAAATAAGGCCTATAAAATCAAAGGCCGCTAAACGCCTAAATGTCGTAAAATGAGTTACTTATGGCGCCATCTAGTTTACTTAGTTGGACACGCTTTAGTGTTTTCATTTTACTAACAAATGCATGTAAATCCCTAGAAAAATCAGTTCAAAAATCGATACTGGCAGCAAAGACAGCTACATGCCAACCAGTAAGAATCAAATACAGCTAAGAGTTACGCCTGCCAATCAGAGAGCAAGATTTCGGAAAAACAGCATGGCCGCCCCATACAATTCGTGCGATTGTGTCGTCCAGTTTTTGGCGTTTTTCTTGTGTTTCTGTTGAATTACGTGACAATTGTTTTGCTATAATTCGAATTTGGATAGCCATGGAGGTCCTTGTAACAAGAGCAAGTGCGGGCAAGGCTCGTAAAAGAACAAGAAACCCAGAGAATTGGAAAGCTAATATTGCAAATAAGCGTTATTCACTATAGACATAGATAATCGATAACAGGTCTTTCACAGCACTTGGCACATCTATGTTGGTTCGAATATTGTTATAACAAGATTTGTACGAGTCACGGAGGAGCAATTCCTTGGTGCGATTAAGTAAATTGACTCCGTTTGGAATGTTTTCCGTTGGACGACCAGCTTGTAGGCAAGGTTGTACCCGTTCCTCGTAAACGAAGCGCATAAGCTTTTGTGCTTTCGATTTGTTTGAGTGCGCTAGTAGAGCGTAGATACCGGATTCTGATACAAAAAGCGTCTCTGGATGCGAGTTTGGTGGTATTTCAAGATAGACCGTGAACAGGCCCAAACTGGTTCCATGGACTTCTCCATTCATCTGGAACAATTCTATAAGCTTTTTTAACATTCTCATAGGCCAAGAGAAAAGCAAACTCTGCTAGTTTACAATAAATTTTATTATTTGGTGATGTACGCCCAACATTTGAAATCACTGCCCTCGTCGCCGAGTTTAGCCAACGGAAAATTGGAACGTTGCAAAGTTATGATACTCTCTTAAACTATAGCATTTTTTCTATTTTACAGGTACATGCCAAAGAAAGCACCAGAACGAATAATCTGTTCACATAAAAATGAACATCTAAAATGTTCAAGTTTAACAATGACTGATATTATGAATTTTCACAGTTCGTTTTATTCCTCAAATAAACGGAGTGAACAAGATGCTTTGATACTGAAGTGCTGTAAAACGCAGAAGGTAAAAAGAAGGCGTCCTGTCAAAAGCATAAGATTGGGTAGAGATTTTAATATAAATATAGCGTTTTCAGAGCTCGCAATGATTGTGTTCCTGTTTGCCAAAAAGCGTTCCTGAATATACTTGGCATAAGAAAATATCGTGTAGAGTATGCTTTGAAACATTTAATTTATACAGGGGAGATTGCCAAGGAACGAAGAGGGGGTAATCGTAAGATAAATAAATTTAAAGATCAGAAGGAGTCCATTCTACATTATATTATGAAACTAAAAGAATCGCTTTGTTGTCGATCATCCTCTCAAGAACGCAAATACCTATCTAGTGACTTGAGTATAAATAAGCTGTATAAAATGTTTAGAGACGAAAATCCTTAATCTCCTGTTAAACAATCAAACTTCCGCCATATTTTTAATAAAGAATTTAATTTAGGTTTCGGTACCCCTAGCACTGACGTCTGCTCAACTTGTATTGAATTGAATGAGAGAATCAATAAAGAAAACGATCGAATCAAGAAAAATGAGTTAATGACTGCACTGAGTGCATAAATTACGAGCAAAGGCGTTCTTCAAAATGCTGCAGGAGTATATAATAGTTCTAGGTCAACGGAAAATGCCTTTTTTTTTCTCTGCGGAAATCCCCTCGGATACCACCTATGTCTATGGCTATGTCGGACTCGAACCGACTAAAAACCGCACGCCGTCTCAGGTACCAGTAGCCGGGGAACCAGGTGTACCCTAGAAAGGAAATCTCTTGCACCCCGACGTACCTCGAGCCATCTACGGCGGTGATAGGATGAACTCCTCCTGTTTGGGAATCCCCATGTTCCCTTGGTGCTCCCGAGCTATTACCTATTACGAGAATTGGCTTTCAGATCAAGAACAGCTGCTAATGTACCGAGAACTCGGTGACACTTATCGTACGTAAACAAGGTAGAAGCATTATTGCATTATTGCTACGCCAGAGGTCGTGGGTTCGATTCCCACCCAGAACAAATAATTGTCTGATGAGCAGTCATTTGTTCTGTGTCTGGGTGTACTTATATCTATAATATGTACATATGTATTTAGAAATATATAAGTAGGTGTGTTTATCAGCAGTTTGGTTACCATAGCACATGCTTTGTCTAGTTTAAGATCAGACGACCGTGTGTGAAATGTGTGAGGATATTATATTATTAAAGTCAGAAATGAGAGAGATTTCTTAGGTTTCTACATTAAACTATATTACATTCATCTCGAAACTGGCACTACGTGTAACTTCTGTTATTATGACGAATAAAATACCTATGTAAGTAGGTATATCTGATTTAACTAGTGACAGAATTTATTGATTTCAGGTGGTCATGGACACTATTTAAGTAAACCAATAACTTCTAGATCTGACAGTGATGATGGTACCTACATAGAACGACGAAAATATTAGCTACCATTATCATTATCAGAGTTAGATAGGATTTCATTAACCTTTGATTTAACGTTCTCATCTATCGTCAGATAGAACTGTTTTAGAACTCAATTTGACTGAACAAACCTTAAACACAGTGCCATCTATGAACAATTATATACAACTAACATCTTAAAGCTGATCAAAAGGTTCCTCCTTCATTCGCTAGCTGACACTGGTTTACGAAAAGACCGTTGTTGTTACAACCATAGATTAAAAACTATAAACTAAAGAGTTACAAGTGTTACAACTTAAGTTAGCACTAAATCAAAGAGTGTGAAGTAATGGAACCTTATTGTCTTATATTTCTAAATACATTCAATAAAATAAATACGTTTATTAAAATGTGCGCGATAACTTATCTGTGTGGTGACGGATTAAGAATAAGGAGTGTCGTCACCCGGCCTATTCATCCCATGGGTCGTAAGAGCCGAACAAGGGAGCAAACAACACAGGACAACACCACTGTAAAAAGAGAAGGAAAACTTGAAACCAACCCTACTCCAATCAGTCTGGCCAGCGTGGTATGGTAGGCTAAAACTTCATTTCTAAGGAAAGGCATATATTCAGTCAGTGGACTATTAAAAGCTGTTGATGATGATGAATAATAAAATAAGGTTCAACCTCTTGAAGTCTTCGTGTCTTCCGTGAGTTTGTTTGCCCTTTCTTCTCATAAACCTCAACCCCATGGCAACATGGCACAGGCATTCAGACAGACAGATTTTCGATAGGTATAATTGACAAAACAGAGATTGTTGCTATTGTGTGTGTTGATCTATGACTTTGGAGTCTACATAAAATTCGATTTCCAACATTTCTTTTTCTGAAATAAAGAAATTTTGAGTTTGGGTTTGAACATCAACAGTTTTTGCAACTGTTCATTTAGTCATTGAGTGGTTCCTGCGAAATATGAAAGGCAATGACAGTTAATCAAAGATTATAATGAAAAGGTTTAGAATATCTTTGTTGAAACAATGTCTAGATATCTGGCATTTAACTAAGAACTTAACCAGTTCGCCAATTTCTGTAGTTGTACGGTTGGCTTCTTAACTTTATTATGAACACCAAGGCTAATCTATTAATCTGTCTAGTGCAGGGATTCTCAAACTATTATTTGCAAGAGACCCCTTTTCCAAAATGAACTGATACCTCAGACCCCTATAGGCAAATTGATATTAAACATTAGTCATTCTTATAACAAGTTGGTACAAACACAACTTATACAGTATCTTTAAAGTTTCAAAGAATAACTTGTGTTAATTAATAGGCGTCGATTTTTAGACCTCGTTGACCCTAAAATCAGTTTTCGTTTATGTCGACCCCTGGAAAACCGATTTCGACTCAAAAGGATCGATATCGAGCACTTTGGAAATCCCTGGTCTAGTGGTTTGTGATTGACTGTTAACACAGAGGCCATGGCTTCGATACTAACCTAGACACATCTCATAAGTAGGTATGAACATTCATGTTGTGTGTGATATCTTGGTGTATTTTATCTATAATATGTACGTACCTATCTAGTATTGTAAGAAGTATAATTTATCAGCATTTTGGTACCCTATACGAGCTGCGTGTAGTTTAGGATCCGATGGGCATTTTAAGTGTCTAAACTTATCAAGACTGTGATATCTTTGATTCCTTTGGTTGAGGTCACTTTTGCAATCATCATCATCATCTCAGCCAAAAGACGTCCACTGCTGGACATGGGCCTTCCCCAAGGCTCTTCACAACAACCGGTCCTGTGCTGTACTTCTGTAATACAGCGTCGTTAACGCATTTCTTTGCCAAAACATCAAAATCAAGATTGTATTGCCATAACACATTTTTTTCCAACAGAACACAACACACATTTACAAACGTAATCCCCAACAGTTTTTTTTAAAGTGATAAGAAATGAAATAAAACAATTTTTTAATCGTTGTATATTTTTATTATGTACAAGTATTTAAACACAATGATTATAAAAATAACTAACGTTTTTTTGGATGGTATATAAAGTTATTGTTTTAATACATATAGATGACAGTAATATAGTACGAATACAATAAGATATTAATGCATTCTTTTTTCGTGATTTACTATTTGGTGTTCAGCTGAATACCGAATAGTAGAAAATAATGGCCGCATAGCCGAATACCGAATAGCCGAATATTCGTGGCATCTTTATATTAATGGCTAAAATTATTATTTAATTCCAAAACAGTAAGGAAGAGCAGGCACTTTGAATTACGTCATAATAGTGTTGTGAAGTTCTATGATAGATTTAATATCTATGGATTTTTTGCACATCTGTCAAATAATGACTGAGATTTATTACTTACCACACTTAGGTTTATGAATACCCTCATTACAACTAATTATGGACGGCAGTGGTTGGTTAATTGAATCAATAAAATAAGAATTTAGATTTCCTACCTAATTTTTAGAGTATAAAATACCTACTCAGTAATAATGGGTTTCAAACTAAAACGCAGTCCGTCAAGTTCGTCTGTCATTCTACACATGGTATTGATAAGCTAACTGATGTAGTTACTCAAATACAGTTTCTAATGAAAACTTAGTGGCTAGATGCAATTCTGTGGGCCCATACATATGTGTGTGTGAGTGTATGATCCATTCGATAGAAGCTCAAATCAGTGTATGTGTACAAGAGTACAATACACTGATTTGATTGATTTCATGATCGACATTGCTGCATTGTCTGATTTTTACCTGTGTTACCTTTATATCATAAAGCAATGTTCTCTTTGTACTTATAACAAAGATAAAGGCGAGGATAGGTGCACACTATGAGTTTGTCGCTGCGGCGGAATGTTGCGTTTCAGAATTGTTTTCAGCTGCAATTCACGCACTTGAACTCAAAGTCACCGCAGCGTTTAAACATCTGAAACGAGTTTCAACTTATTTGTGGCCCTCGGCAAGAAAGTGGTAGTGTGCGCCTGCCCCACCAGAAAAATAAATTTGACTAGGCTTAAATAAAATGAGCTGTGATTGGTGGTCATCGTAGATTTTTGGTATTCGAATTATTTTTATATTATATAAAATTAAATTAAATTAACAAATTTACAATGTACTTTTAATAATCTATTATTAACACGTCACGGTCATCAGTGACCGGGAAAGTAGCGTTTGTTGATAGATGTTTAGTTTGAAGATATTTTACAGTATTAGACAGTATGTAATAAGCTATTACTAATATATAAAGACAGTTCCTAAGATTTAAGACAGATGTCTTTTCAACTAATGATTTTTCAAACGAATTTTCAAATTCGAAATTCGTTTGAAAACATCACATAAAACTGTTATCTCTATCCAGAAGTCATGAAGCAAAGACCAATTATTACAATAAGCTGCGCAATATCCGTGTGGTGACAGATTAAGAACGCAGAGTGACACTACCCTTATACATCCCGTGGGTGTCATAAAAGCCTACCAAGGGAGCAAACAGCACTGCAAAGAGAAGGTAAACTTCAAACAAACGCTATACCAACCAGTCTGGGATAGTAGGCTAAAGCCTCCTTTCTAGGGAGAGGTCTAGGTCCAGCGGTGTACTAAAACTAAAACTAAAACTCTACTAAAAGCTGTTGAATATGATGAACATTTGTTATAGCTCCGTACATCCAACAAGAAGTTGGTAGCAGTTAGCTGCACTCAAAAATAAAAGTAGATGGATCACATGATCGTAAGTGACTACTGTCGCTGGTGTATACGTTGTCACCCTCCGAGTGCTGAACACTCAGGATTAAGGGGAAGGGAATTCATGGCTCTCCCACTTCCACTCGATTATTCTTATGTACATTATTAACTTCTAGCGATGTTTTATTATTCATATCTCAAAAAGATAAGTTTACATGTAGATAGCAGCAGCATTAAGATAGTAGCACCAGATTTTAGTGTATCAGTGAAAAATAACTGCTCACAATTTTTCTCTATACAAATGCGTAATATACAAAGTCGTATTGTACGACTCAAAGAAGATAAGTCAGATAAGAAACGCCTGAATTATTTGCAATCTTTTACAATAATAAAAGTTTGGTTACATTAGGTAAGTATTAGCACCACTATGTTATTTAATACGCGATTATAATATCAGATACATGTGTGTAAATAATATAAAAATAATCTAATTACAGCTAAATATAATAAACCTAATCTTTAAAGCAGGTAAATCCATACAGGATTCAAACGTCCGCAGTTCTTAGTTGTCAGCCTTTTGTCTGATTCTTGGTCCGCTACGGGAAGAGAATTTACACATTCAAGGAAAGGAATACTTAAAGTCGTAGGAATTTTCTCGCATTCTATCTTAAGGTGATCCAGAGATGTGCTTGTCAGGTGTATAAATAGTAAGTATATTTAAGCATAAAATATGTTTTACTGATTTTGAATATTGTTTTTCGTTTTCCTTCCCTTAACAGCAAAATAATTATTCCATAACATAAAATCAAAAATCCGTGTGGTGACGGATTAAGAATACAGAGTGTCACCACCCCTGTCCATCACCATCCCATCATCCCGTGGGTGTCGTAAGAGCCGACTAAGGGAAAAAACTAAGCAGGACAACAGCACTGCAGAGAAAAGGAAAACTTGACACAAACCCTTTACCAACCCGTCTGGCCAGCGTGGTATAGTAGGCCAAAACCTCCTTTCTCAGGAGAGGCTTATGTCCAGCAGTGGACTATTAAAGGCTGTTGATGATAAAATCTGCTATTTAGTTTTAAATATTTCATTGCTTGGTTTTTTAATATTCCTATCAATTTGTAGAAATTTAATTCAGTATGCCTTACAGGAAGTGTCGAACCCGTCTCAAGTCCAAATTTGTTTCCGAATCAAATCTAATAAAAAAAGATTTTGCTCAAGTGCAGTATTAACAGTATTAATAAGCCAACCTTCCACGTTAACATCGTTGTTGTCGGTATCTTACAATAGGTTAAGTAATACTCAATGTGTGTAATTTTTTATTTGGTGTTCATTTCCGTTGAGCGCCCAAGAATCATCATCGAAAAAATGGCGTCCGCGCCTTTTACCAATACATTTTAAATGGATCAACTTAGCTCTACAACTTAGATAATGGTAATTTCAAAATAATATCTTTGGGAAAATAACTCCAATTTTAAGCCTGTGTCATACGAGTGTGTCTAGGGGATAACCTGTACCACCAAAATTAAACGTTTGATTTAAATTTGTTTGATCTAAAACAGGTACGTAACTATCCTGCAGTAGTATTGGTTGGCGACTTGAAGCTTCATTTAATTGTCTCTCCAAAACTGCATTCTGGAGTTCTTCCTCCTCCAATTGTAGTGTAAGTTCGTCAAGTAATTTCATCCTATTTTCTATTTCTGTATCAGCTTTCGCCATTTCTATAGTGTTTTCTTGCATTTCTTTTGTGGTTTTCATTAATTCTTGCTCAATTTTGTCCAACAGCATTCGAACTTGGGAAACATTTTCACAACTGTTCGCTTTGTTCTCATCCATGTATCTTTTGACTTTAGCTGTTAGTCTCACTACAAGTTCTTCTTCGCGATGTAGTCTTTTATTAATGATAGCCAGTTTCTCCAACATTTCAACTTCGTCACGTATCCTAGAAAGTTCATCAGCAGATGCTTCAGAGTCTGTATCGTTTTGTGTCTGCATTAGTCTATCTGAGTTGACTTGGCAAATGTCTGTCAGTTCTTTTGTAAAGTAATGCTCTCTCATAAGGTGTCTTTCTCTTCTAGATTTATGTTTTGTGTGTCGCCTCGGTGGGGTGCCGCTGCCCACGCCCACTCCACTGTCACTGTTCCCGGCCTGACTATCATTGACTTCACTGCATCGGCCGAGGTCTCGAAGGTACGATTCGAGAAGGTAGTTGGTACCGTGTTTCTCCATGCGGTTTTTGTGGGTTTGATCTTCCAACTGGTCGATTAGCTTCTCTTGTTCCCTGTACATAAAAAAATGGTTACTATTGCAAATAAAACACATTAACATTTTTTGAAAGCCATGTTATCCCTCTAAATGTTTAATATCAATTTGTGTTATACTCGTATGTGCATATCGATCTTGTTACACCGAAAGCTTTAAGCATCAATAAACAAAGAGATGCAATTAACCTTAATTTATCGAGCTGTTGATGTATCGTTCTACTCTGGTGTTGTATAACTGACACCAGTCTAGCTGCAGGATCCTCGCTCCTGGCTCTTGGGGGCGGCGTGGCTGTCCTCATGTTTCTCCGTCTACGTCTTCGAGCACCCCCACGGCTGCCTCCGTCACTGTCTCGACCAGAATCGTCTTCTCCACAGCTCGAAACACGTCTAAGTGCTAATTTAACCTAAAAATAATTTACTGCTTTGTATTAAATTTATTTTTTTGTGCAATTGTGTGAATTATTTAGACCTTCATTCTCTACTATAGCTATAGCTTTAACAAGAGTAGGTATGGGAAATAAAAAAGGCTTGAATAAACTGCAGCTACTCGTAGGTTTAATTTGTCGTCTATATTTTTGGTATCATTCAAATGGAAAACTAATTTTATCGGATTTTCTTGTTATAAATATCAATTTTATAATAAATAGTAACCTCGTGCCTCGCATCTCCCCAAGCTGCTAAGACATGAAGGACAGGTACGTCGGGAGGTAAAGGTCGCTCCACTCCTCGCCACCGTTCTGCCAGCACCCAATCACCGTGTTCGCTGACAGCCCCTTCCGCTGTGGTTTAAATATTCCATGTTAAAATATATGTTTTTTTTTAATCTTCGGTTCTGTTCACTAGCTAAGTATCAATAACAATATACGAAGATTTTTTGGAAAAAATTAAAAGCGGTAAAGATCTATTCCTATCAAATAATAATTACAAAATTATCGTGTTCTTCCGAAACTATTTTGAACGGAATTTACGGTTGGCATTGACTTTTAGTTTTTATTACCCATATACAAAAATACGATCTAAATGGCGTGCAATGGGAGAGGCCTATGCCCAGCAGCAGTTGACTGCGATAGGCTGATGATGATACAAACATGCACTCACTTCTTGTATTTCGAAAGGCGTTTTAAAAACTAGGCGTAAATCTAGTCCAGTGTAAATTTTGATCTTACAAAAATATATACAATGACAGTTCGAGTTTTATTGGTCAATGAAAATAAAATAGGACATTGAAAATGGTCAAAATTCAACTTCTAGGTAATATCCTTCCATTCTTATCAGACCAGGGAAATCAGTGGTAGATATGTCATAAAATACTAGTATGTTTTGTCTATACTAGTACTAGTCGTAATACCCTAGTTTAAAATAATTATGATTATATCATATAGTTACATATCATACCTTCAGGGGCATCCTGCAAAGCACGAACGATGTCTGCGCAGGTCGTATGAGATTTGACTCCACGAACCCATAATTTCTGACCCCGAGCCAAGACCCCCACTTCTTCATCACTGTAGTCTGATGATGAGCCCTCCATGTCGGATGTGAATCAACTGTAGAAACAAAAAAAAAATTAAAAATGATTATCGTATTTGGTAGTGTATTTTATTATCTATACTAATATAAAGAAATAAAGTTAGTGAGTGTATGTTTGGGGTAATATTCGGTACTATTGATCCGATTTTGAAAATTCTTTCACTGTTAGAAAGGTATATTATCCCTGAGTGCTATAGACTACTTTTTACCGCGATAACCAACATACACGGGAGCTGCGGGCAGAAGCTAGTCTAGTTTATAGTCTCTTTTATGGAACAGCTCAGCTTTAGCGGTGATTGTCCCTTTATGATTGTCCTATTCAATATGTTCCATTTCTAAACAATGTTGTTTCATATCAAAAAGAAGCGTATCTACTTCTAAAAGTTTCATAGTTTAGCTTTCTTGTAGGATCTTGTATCTGTGGCAAAAACCCATTTTCTTATTCGCTTATTTTAGGTCTCTAAAGTAAATATTATTTTTGTGCTTTATAGGATTTTGCACAAGCGTACGTGGCTTAAATCCGCCCGAATACGTAAATTTGTATTTACAGGCACGATAGCCAACTAAAACACAGGCTATAACAGTGTAACGACTTTGCGAAGTTTTCCGACCGAACACGTAAGTTCTTGCATAAGTCTGCATAATTTTCGTCCTAGCACGGCCTGGCACGTCTAAAAGGGGTGGTTTACCTAAGTCGACGACTATAGCCGGTCAAAATGACGAATATTGCATGCGTTTTAATATCCGCTGTTTAGAAAGGTCAATTTGCATTATAATGAGGTGTTTAGCGTACATTGAAATTTGTATTCAAATAACAATGTTATAATATAATCGATAGATGGATGCACATTTTAAAATGTAAAACAGTTTTTTACTATTATACAATAGGTCCGTGTGGTGACGGATTAAGAATACGGAGTGTCACCACCCCTATTCATCCCCTGGGTGTCCCGAGAGCCGACTAAGGGAGCAAACTACGAAGGATCACATCACTGCAAAGAGAAGGAAAACTTGAAACAAACCCTATACCAACCCGTCTGGCCAGCGTGGTGTAGTAGGCCAAAACCTCCATTCTAAGGAGAGGCCTATGTCCAGCAGTGGACTACTAAAGGCTGTTGATGATGATGATGGTACAATAGGTGTTCAAAACCTTATTATACAAAAAAATATAATTGTGTAATAGGCAAATATAGAAAAACTGAATTATATACTAAGCACACGTGTCTTTAGTATATTGGAAATCTTGGAAGAAATTTATCAGAGATTTCTCTTTAAACGTAATGGTCTAAGCAGAAAGATTCATTCATTCATTGTATCATTATTTTTAGCCCCCAACGCAGAAAAAAATGACATCACATCATCATACATCAACAGCCTTTAAGCGTCCACTGCTGGATTTATGCCTCTCCTTAGGAAGGGTAGGAGTAATAGTTTTAAACTATTAAAAAATATCTGTACGGCCGTTTGCAGACCATCGGCTCTTTTCTCTTCATTAAAGACATGTGCGTAACTTCTATTTTTGTTCTACATGAAGTTTAATAAGCTGCGACTTCAAAGATATTTTAATAACCTTGTTGAATGTTTTAGTATCATCTAGAAGCAGCAGGTTACACAACTCTTAGTCAACTTTCAGCACAATGTACAAGGTACAATGAACCAAAGACGATTTAATTTACTTTCCTGTTTGAATCTAAGAGTTCTAAGTATTTTTGTCGAAAGTAGTTTAATATATACACAAGGGGACGGAGCCTTATCTTTTCATTTACAAAGGAAAGCATGACGACAGGTAAGTAAACAAGCAATAACGCTCCTTCCATAACCATAGCAACCAAACTTCTACACAAATATATTCTACCCCATTATTGAGCTTCCGTTTAAGAAAATGTGGTATTAAACTTCCACCCACTAATGAAAAAAGCTACTAGTGAGTATACCAACAGGTGATTTGAATGATGCATGAAGAATAAACGTAAAAGAATTGAATTCCCTATTTTCTTTTCCAAGAAGAGGTTGTGGGGTATTAAATTCATTACACGGGCTAACAAAGTTTTGTATAGATTTTGAGATATAAGGGAACGGACACAAGAAAAAAGTATACGGAAAAGGAAGAGAGGTCGAAGAGACCATTGAATCAAATAAATTTGATAGCAAGGTAAGAAGATTCTACTTAACCTCGTATTATCGTGGTAGTTTTAGATGAACGCCATGTTTAATGAAGAATGATTGTGTAAAAAGGCATCGATTTACATTTGTTATTAATCATATAAGTATCCACACGTATCATATTATAATGTAAATTTGTTTGTTACACTTTCACGGCTAAACCGCCGACATACACGCGGGCGGAGCCGCTGGCAAAAGCTAGTGTGCTATAGTTTAGTATGTATTTATACCACTCATGTACACATTAAATCGATGTAGAAATATTCTAATATTCTTTACTTAAATAAACTGTTAATCCCTTAGATATTATTATAGTTTGAAATACAGGATCGTTAAAAATCCACACCATAGTGATTATAAAGAAATTTACTTTTAATATTTGTTATATTGTATTTACTAAATCACGGATATCGTGTCTAAACAGCTTTAACTAAAAATAATACAAGGGTATTTGAAAAAAAAACTATATACTCCATATATTTCTAGCATATTAGCGTGAAGGCAATTTGGATGGTTCGTGTCAGACCACCATTAGGGGGTTTCCGTTTGCCACCCCCTGTTTTTCAACCCCATTTGGGGTGCCACCACGCCCGTTCGTGTTTTATGTTAAATATTTTCTTATGGGGTGTTCAAATTCCACGGATACGTTATTAATTTGTTTTGCCTGTGCATTTTTCATTGTGGGATACAGTAATCGACTTATACCTACCTATATGTGTGTGTTTAAATTATTTTGTTTCAAGTGCACTGCGTTACACGATTTTGGTAACCTCTTGCTGGAATGAATAGGTAATGAGTCATAGATTAAATGTTCAAAACATATGTGGTATCCATCACGTTTTCGAGGTATATGTCAATTATTATTTCCACTAACCTCACTTAGGCGTACAAGAAACAGTTACCGTTTGTACGTTGTCCATTTTATTTTGTTTAGTAATCGTTTTTATTCGATAACGTCGACATCTTTTTACATATTTATTTGAAAATCCAACATGAATACTGGCCTAAGTGGTCGTCGCAACTGTTTATTGCACCAAATAAGTTTTGTTACGTTTGCGGACAGTATATTGTGAAATCACAAACAATAAACGTTTCCGAAAAGTGAGAGTGCATATTTACTCTATTTTGGACGTGCTATTAATCAAGATTAACCATGTTCTTTTCTTTGTAAACCATGTTCTTTTCTTTGTAAAAAAAGGTTTTTTGGTGTTTCGTGCTCTTCTAGTCTTATATCTTGGTTAAATGGGAACAAGACGTCAATTCAATTTGCCGAACCAGCTTTATGGCGTGAACCTAGTAATCATTTTAATGATTGCTACTTTTGCAGGACTGACATACGTGGTTTTACAAAGAAAAGCACTATACTACAACAGTATGGCCAGAAAGGTCAGAGTTTATTTGCAGAAAATCTAATGTGAAACACATACCTTTGAAAGATCCTAAAAATGTCATTTTACCACCACTCCACATAAAAATTGGTTTGATGATTTTTTTATCAAGGCTATGAATAAAGAGCGAGATGGCTTTTAAATTCAAAGATAGTATTTTCAAAGTTAAGTGATGCCCAACTCAAAGAAGGAATATTTGTGGACCACAAATACGCACATTGATGAAAGACCCAAACTTTGACAAAAAGCTTACTAACAACGAACTTGATGCCTGGTTATCAATGAAAGCAGTTATAAAAGGGTTATAGGGAACCACAGAGCCGTTAAAGGCATACGAAAAGTTACGTGGGTTGCAGAATGTCATTAAAAATCACATTCTTCATTCTCATTTTTCTTTCTTTCCATCTAATCTCGGTGCGGTCAGTGATGAGCAGGGTGAGAGGTTCCACCAGCATGTAAAGAAGCTTGAAGGACGACACAATTATGCTAGGTGATTACTATTGGCGATTAGAACTAAAAGAGAACATTCAAAGCACAAAACAAAAAGTTAAAACTTCACGATATTTTATGGTAAAATTTTATAAGATGTTTTGTTTTGTTTTTTTTCTACCTAAATGATAAAATTAAACTTGATTAATGTAATGATAAAATTAAACTTGATTGTGGTTGATTTTATTAGATTTCTTTAAAATATGTTTTGGCCTTTTAATTTTTAATATAATTTGGCACATTCTTATGAAAGAAAAAGGAGACGTGATGAAAAGAAAATTTGTATGTATGTTTAATAAAGGATGGATGTAAATACGAAAACATGGCATTTCAAAGCGGGTGCTCAATTATTATTTTCATTTGTAACGCAGTGTTGTTGTGCTGTGAAAGTTTTTGTTCGCAGCTTTGATCGCTTACTTTTATTATTTTATTATACTATACGATTTTATTAACTTTTTATCAATGAAACTATGCCACACAGAAACACACATCCAAACCGATACGTTTTTTTGAAAAAAGGTCCTTTACTAACCTTTTCTGCACCCATGAAGTAAGCTAATTAAAACAGTAATGCTTTTCTTTTGTATGGTTTTTTTTTTCCGCAGATTTGACTGTATTAAATGAGTATTTAAGCTATGACTTATTACAATTTTAATACATCAAGGTTATTGTATACCTGCACAAGGTTACATTTAAGTTTTACATGTATATATCCATATATATGTCTAAATATGATGAATTAATAATTGTAAGTGGAGTTTTAACTTAGAACCTTTTATTGCACGCCCGAAGCTTTAGGCTTCGTAAGCCTATAAAACAAGAACTATCATAGTAGGGAAGTAGTTAAAACTTGTCTTAGACTAAGAGTATAAGAGAAAAATTTGAAATAATTAGAAGTAGAGAACAAAAAAGACATAGTGACCTAAGAGTAACTAAAACCTTGATTCCTAAAACACTTACA